AATATAAATTGTATCTATTAGATACAATAAATACACATTTTAGTAATGATTAACGTGAAAAGTGTAAACATTTCAATTCAGTAAAAATCGTCAAACAAATAAGTCGTCTAAATTTAAACAGCATTTAGCATTATTAAAAGCGTTGATTAAGAAGTCTCCACTCAACGGTAAAATACCATTATATCATGTATTATATATAATATTATGTTGCCATGAATTCGTAGGTATATTTTGTTGTTTAAAATGCAGTTGTCGGCGTTTTTTAGAGAACTCAAATATAAAAATGGTTGATTTTAAGGTTATGTTTGTGCAAAAATTATTTTTCACTATATTAGGTAAAGTTATCATTGGTTAATTCTGCACCAACAAATGTACTTACCGAATTGGATTCTTTGGCAAAACATGAAAATGCAACGATTTAGATCTTGAATTTTATTTACAATTAAAAACACAATAATTCACCATGATCCCTTAGATAAAATACACACACTAACGTAACTATATAAGCATTTAAGCGTTGAGTTTCTTAATCAATGATATAAAGAATAATCAATCGAAATCGAGTACTAAACCAGTTTTTTAGTTTTTTCCTTGCAACGTAAAACATAAATAACGTGCGCTATTTAGCTGTGCAATTGAACAAAATTTGTCGAGTAAGACTTCTGCATTCCTCTCTTTTGTAAAAAAACTACCTATTTATTTAAAAATGATGTACAGTTCGTATGCTTTAAATGTATTGTTGACAATTCTTAAATTCACGCAATGCTAAGATTTAAATATCCCAAAAGAAAAAAATCATTAGAAGACAGATCTGGTGATATTGCTGGCTGCAGATATTAAGTAGATAATACAATTTGCATTAATTAAAATAAATTGCATGTATAAGGAAATTTTATTATAAATAGGAAATTTCTATAAATTATTAACGAGGATTATTAAGTATTTAATTTAATAATTAATCATTTAAATATGCCACTTATAATATTAATAATCAATAGGAATGTTTATTTTTTTAACAATAAAAGTGTGTTTCATTTTATTTGGTATTTATTTAAAAATAATCCGATTCAATCACACCCATTGGTTATATGTATATATAACTTGAAACTGAAATATCTCAGTAAGAATGCATTTTACGAAAAAATGTTTAAAATAAAAATTAAATGATTCGAGGGGGGAAATCAATTAGTACTAGAATTGGTCCTCATACTCTCCTCCTTATAGGGGGAACAGGGGGTAACTTTAAAATTTCCAATGGAACACCCTATTTTTTATTGCAGATTCGGATCATTCGACTAAAAATAGGTAGATTTTGTCTAAAACATTTTCTCATATTTGTAATAGATGGCGATGTAATGAAAAAAATCAATTTTGTTCGATTTTTCTTCTGTATACGATTCTGCAATAATTTTTTTATAAAAATATCACTTTTTTGGTAATAATTATCTTATTAAATTAAATCTGATTTTTGTAAGTACCCACGATTTTTTAACTAATATTTAAGTTTCCTTTGATTTAAGTTTTATACATTATTTCATTCGGTGATATTTATCAATTGCGCACCATGGTCACTTTTTACCTGCCAGCATTAAATCCTTTAATTTAAAGGATTATTTTACTATTTTTAATAAAAATACCTCATTTAAGGTAAAAAAAACATTATTTTGTCAATTAATTAATTTAATCCTAATTCAGGTATAAAAAATGGTATTTAGTTATAAATAATAATTATTATTAAGGTATAAGAAACTTTTTACAGTTTAGCATTATTTAATCAATTTAGTTCGAAGATTAATTTGCAAACAAAAAGACATCCTTTCGTTGAGCAGTTATTCATAATGGATTTAATACAGTGGAAGAAAAAATTGAAATGATTTTGATTTATGGAGAAGCAGGCAGGAATCTTGATGATGCTGTTAATATCTACGCTCAGCGTTTTCCGGATAAAATTCGATTACGTACTTCATTTCACCGTACAGTCAAGCAGTTTACTGCAAACGGGAGTGTTCAACCGAAAAAAAGTTCGTCAAGCAACAGTCACAGGTGGAAATAATGAAATTAGTGTATTAGCAGCAACGGCCGCTAATCCTCATGCAAGCACACGAGAATTATATAGTTCTAGTTATTTTACTTAGATTTTTGCAAAATTTGTGCTCGTTATTTAACCAGAATTAATTTGTAACTTGAATATGGGCAGGATTTAAAGGTTATTTCATATTGAACCAAATTAATTCTAAGAATTTTTTTATATAACACTGTCTATCGTGTTTAAATTAGTTTAAGTACGAGGTGTGTTCAGAAAATATCGGGAATTTTCGTTTTTTGAAACAGATATTTATTTATTGTCGCCTTCAAAATAGTCCCCATTGAATATTATGCACATGTGCCAGCTCTTCTTCCAATACTCTAAACACTTCTAAAACTCGAACTTTGGGATAGCCTTTAGTTCTTTCAGCGATGCGCTTTTAATGTCATCTATGCTTGCAAAACGACGGCTCTTTAAGGTTCTCTTTATTTTTGGGAATAGGAAAAAGTCAGACAGAGGCATGTCTGCCGAATATGGAGGCTGGGGCATCATTACAGTATTGTTTTTGGCCAAAAATTTTGTTCCAAATTTAACAATTTTAGAACAAATTTTGCTGCCACGCGTTTCATACCTAAAACATTCGAAAAAATTTCATGGGATAAGCCAATCGATATACCAACATCATCAGCGACTTCTCTGATGGTTTATAACCATTTCTTTCACTTTTTTCCATGTTTTAATCGGTTGTTAATGTGCTTGTGCGTTCGGGGCGTTTATCATCTTCAACGTCTTCACGGCCATCTTGGAAACTCTTGTTTTACTTATATCAGACTCACTATAGGCCTTTGTTAACATTTCACAGAATTTATTTCATTTTTTAAGCAAAATTGGATACAAATTCTTTGATCCATTTCTTTTAACGAACGAAAAATCGCCGAGCTCATAAAACACGTCTAACCTTAGCGGCTGCCACAGACAAAGTAAACAATGAAAACATCTAAAGTTTTTATCATACTGCGGGGGCATGTATACCAACATAATAAAGAAAATTTTATGACAACCGGACCCTCCGAACCCGCGAAATTTAACAATTCCCGTTATTTTCTGAACACACCTCGTATACCTAATAAAAAACAAATAAAACTTACCGATCGCTTATAAACTAAATATAGTTGTTGCTAAGGCGACAAATGTTTTAAATCTTGTTTATATGTTGATGTGAGGAAATCAAAATTGTTAATTATTACAAGTATGTAGTTATCCAATTAATTAAGTAATGAATATTACAAAACTTTTTTAAAATTATTATATGTTAATTTATTAAATAGTAAATAGTAAAATATTTGTAATTGTATTTTATAAAATACTTATATACATAAGTATATATACAGGGTGTCCAAAAATAACGTTAAAATATGTATATGCAGTATGCAGTTAATAACTGAAATTTATTTTTAACGAATAAGTTAAAAAAATTGTGGAACGACCCATATATGTAGATAAAACAATTGTTTTAAGCGTAATGAGTGCACGAGAAAACGTTTAAATAAAAAATAATTATTCATTGTTTGAAAAAAAAAATTAAATATATCAAGTTATCAACGGTTTTGTTAACTAAAGCAAAAATTGATGATAAACAATTATTTTTGTACTATACGCTTTTTGTGTTCGGTATTGCACACGTGTTTTATCTGCAAAAACTTGATATTTATTCACTTCATATTCTATATAAACATTTTTTTCTTATCTATTAATGTGGCTAGACATTTATTCAAAACTTTACAAAATTCAGTTAGGATATTAAATTCAAAGAATTACCGATTTCCTTGTGTAACATTTTTATGGTTAATTTAAATATTAATCTTATCTTTCGTTTACCCTGATAGCAAAATTTGATTTTAAGAATGGAGTAATGGAATATTCTTAGAACCTTCCCTTATTGCTAAGAATGTTCTTAGGGACTTTTAAAACATTCAATAGATACCCTTTCAATGATGCAATTAGATTCTTAAAAGCTTCTTAAAACCTTCCTAAAAAGCATCCTAAGAACATTTTTAGAATACGTTTTTGGAATGTTCTTAGAAGGTTTCTTATGGAGCTTCTAGGAAGCTTTTGAGAATATTTCCAAATATGTCAGATACCCACGTTCTAATATGTTGCATTCTACATTCGTAAATTTTTCAGGAGACGACAAATACGCCTCACTGTCATAATATGACATATGAAATTTTGCGACATAATAATATATATTTATTTAAAAATGTTAAATAAAGAATGTGACCTCTAAACCATAAGTTGTATGACATTATTTCATAAAAAGTAAAATTGGAAAATTTTGTGGCATAAGTCAGATTGGATTGAAGTTGAAGATAGTTAGGATTATTTTACATAAAAATGTTAATTCAGAAATAAAAAATCGGTATACAAATTAATAAATATTTATTTTTAACATAAAATAAAATACCTATAGTAAAAGTATTTTTGTTATCGAATATTGTTTTAATTTGACAAATAAGTATAAAAAATATTTTGGATTGTGTTTTTTACTTAGTATTTAATACGTAGTTTATGGTATATTTTACTATTATATAGGTAACTGAACCAAATATGCTTAGCAGGAATATTCCTAAATGAACTTTCCATAGCAATAACTTTCTTAACATTCTAAGCATATGTTTAGAGTAGACTAATTTTTACCACTAAAACTTTGCACCTTCTAAGAACCTGCCTATAGGCCAGTAAGAATATTCTTAGGATCACTGAAAGAATTGCGTAAATAGCAACCCTTCTCCATAATTTTTGGGTAATTATTTTTTTCTTTGTTGCAGAATACCAGTTTCTACACCCCTTTGAAAATAGCCGAAACTTTATTTTTCTTTCCAGTATCATTCATAAAGTAAACCAATAGGTGATAAACCAATTAGAAGTGGCGTCACCTCATAGTCAAGCGGGCTTGGATTTTGGAGTTCAAAATCGTCACTCATTGGTGGGAATTTTCGTTCACCAGACAACGACAACGGTTCATTCAGTCTGGTCGAGTTAGTTTGTCGCTGTCTTTCAGATAGTGAACATCGCAGCTATGACAGTTGAAAGTGACGACATTGTTTCGTAGTAATCTAGTGAGTTGTGACACAAAGTGATGTTACAATATCAAATGGTGATATGCTTGACAAACAAGTGCTTCACAGTGAATCGAATTTTTTGGATTATCATTGAAAATAAGCGCTGAATAGAGGGTGAGTTAAACGATGAAAAAACTTTTTTTTTAATTTTCTGAACAAATAGGTACCTACCTAACTGAAGAAAAGGCCTATAATAATACATTTCAAACCTGATACTTAGACCCTTCATCTATTCAAAAACCATTTGGTCTTTCAGATGTCTGTTATTAAAAGCAGGTAGTTTTTTTATATGGTATTCCTAGAAAACAATTTTTCATTTCAAGCATTTTAGATGTACCCACTATTTAGTTTTTAACACCAACCTCTATTATGGGTATTTTTATGACGATATATCTTTTAATCAAACAAAAAAATGTATAATTTTTTAAAAATATTTAGTACACCTTAATCTACACATTTTATAAAAACTATTAGGTAAAACATTATTCGCTCATTTATAAGGTAATAATATTTTACATACATATACGAGGTGTGTTCAGAAAATAACGGGAATTGTTAAATTTCGCGGGTTCGGAGGGTCCGGTTGTCATAAAATTTTCCTTATTATGTTGGTATACATGCCCCCGAAGTATGATAAAAACTTTAGCTGTTTTCATTGTTTACTGTTCGTTAAAAGAAATGGATCAAAGAATTTGTATCCAATTTTGCTTAAAAATGAAATAAATTCTGTGAAATGTTAACAAAGGCCTATAGTGAGTCTGCTATAAGTAAAACAAGAGTTTACAAGTGGTATAAGAGTTTCCAAGATGGCCGTGAAGACGTTGAAGATGACATTAACAACATTAACAACCGATAAAAACATGGAAAAAGTGGAAGAAATGGTTATAAACCATCAGAGAAGTCGCTGATGATGTTGGTATATCGATTGGCTCATCCCATGAAATTTTTTCAAATGTTTTGGGTATGAAACGCGTGGCAGAAAAATTTGTTCTAAAATTGTTAAATTTTGGCCAAAAACAATACTGTAATGATGCCCCAGCCTCCATATTCGCCAGACATGCCTCTGTCTGACTTTTTCCTATTCCCAAAAATAAAGAGAACCTTAAAGGGCCGTCGTTTTGCAAGCATAGATGACATTAAAAGCGCATCGCTGAAAGAACTAAAGGCTATCCCAAAGATCGAGTTTTAGAAGTGTTTCGAGTATTTGAAGAAGAGCTGGCACATGTGCATAATATCCAATGGGGACTATTTTGAAGGCGACAACATTAACGTAGACGAATAAATAAATATTTGTTTCAAAAAACGATAATTTCCGATATTTTCTGAACACACCTCGTATATACAATAAAAAGCTATTGAATTATTTTCGCAATCGTTTCACCGCAAACATCTAAAAAAGGCATTTAAAAAATAAAGACCTTTATTTTTTTATTAAAATATAGTTAATTATGCCTATTAAGTCCTATTTAACACAGTAAAAATAAAAAATAAATATTTCTTTGCTTTGCTCTAGGACCATCTAAAACGCATTAAAAAAATAAAAATCGTTATGTTTTTCAATTAAAATAGTTATAGTTAATTATACCTAATAATTCTTATATAAAACAGTATAAAAGAAAAAAATTATATTCACTTTGATTAAAAAAGTTTGTAAATTATTTCTGAAAATAATGATAATATAAAAACGCATTTAAAAATAAAAACCTTTAAAAATTTCGATTAAAATATAATTAATTATACGTAATAACTCCTATTTAACATAAAATAACATAAATAAAAAAGTTATTGAATTTTGTCCGCAAAATGCTGCTTTTTGACCATAGTGCGCTAAAGCTACGTTTACACCTTGTAACTTAAGTAAGTTAAAAATTATCGACTTACATTTAAATGTGAAGTTATAAATTTTGTGTTAAAAATGTATCAATTTAAAATTGTTAAAAATAAAAAGTTTTGGTTTGAATTTGTAAAGAGTCATTTAAAATTTAAAACTTACATTTAAATGCAATGTACGAATTTTTGTATTAAAAATTTATCGACTATCATTTAAATGACTCTTTACAAATTTAAACCAAAAATTTTGTAGAATAAAAAATTTGAACTAAAATTTTTAAAAACCAATATTTTTAAGCAATAAGTTTTACAGTTGTATTTTATATTTAAAAAAATTGAGTTTAAAAAAAATTGACTTAATTAATTAATTTCTGTTAAAACTATTTAACTTTTAACAAGTTGAAACTAGTTTATTAATATGAACGATCATTATCATAATTTTTTAATTTAGAAATATTTGTTTTACCAAAAGTAACATTTAGCATTATTTCAACTAAAATTCAAATTATTTATGAAGTCACTTCCTTTGGCATTAAAAAAACCCACTGTATATACCACACATATAAAGGAAATTGCAAAATCTTAAGATAACCGATGTACATATGTCATCATTATTTTAATTAAAGGAAATTAAATTCTTTGAAAGTTAAATTGCATCAATCAGCCTTACTTTTTTATAAGAAGAATCGATTTTACGGTTCCAATCTTGGTCTCTTAGATGGACTGTGATATAGGCAACCAACCTCACAAAAAATTATAAAAATAAATAGATATAAATTATTGTAAATTTAAAGAAGAAAAAAGTTTATACAAACCTGTTTTTCTCAAATGATATATGGGTGATTCTACAAAAGTTGGGCAACTTTTGACCTCATTTTGTTTATATAGTTTTCGGAGAAAATTAAATAGTATTTTGTTATGTTTTGTTATGAGAACATAGATAATATAATAAATATACTGTTCCAGACCGGGCCAGTCACTTTTTAAACAGTTTCTGAAATATCTGTGTTTTCTAAATTTGAATGCAAGGGAAGTGACGAGTATACCAGGGTACTAATTAAATACATAATTTATTGGAAAATATAAGATTTATTGCAACTTTGAGCATATTAAACATTAAATATCTTAAAATCAAATAATTTCACACATCAGTGGCGGCTGGTGGATTTTGGGTATACCGATATCTCAATTATTAGATATGGGACCCACACCAAATTTATATGACATTAAATAAACAAGTTCTGCGCAAGCAGAATTTAAATTGAAGTTTGCGAAAAAAAGACTTATATCTACTGGCGACACAGATACAAATTTGAGATTATAATTCGGAATTAAGTATTTTACTGATATTTTTTATTAGTGGATGCTACTTATCAACAAATCACATATAGCCTTACATAAATTACAATGAAATATATATACGTAAGAAAATAACTAATCACCACAGTACTGAAATTTTGACTGGAAGTATACGTGCATTCACCACAACTTCGCCGCTTGCATTGTTTTCAAGATGACTGTCGTGCAAAGGGCGGGCTCTGTAGGTAATTTTTTACCAACACTTGAGTTAAAACGAGGACTTGACGTTTAAACTTCAATATTTCGCAGGAATTTTGAATTTTAACATTGGACACAGAACTGACGGATAAAGAGTACAAAGATTACCAAAAAATTGCTATTATTCGAATCTATGATAAAATATTAAAAATACATTATTTAATGTTTTATAATTTGTAGTGAAATTGAAAATTTTGAATATATATTATGTTTTTCTACAAACGTGCTTTTGAAAAAATACATTAAAATTGGGTGGACAAGTTAAAAAAACCTGGATCATTTGTAATATACTAAAATAGTATATTACCCATTTAATAACTGCGTCATATTGCCCCACTTTACCCTAACTGCGTCATTTTACCCTTCTTTACTCTATAATATTAAATGTCAAAATTGATAAATAAAAATCGATTTCTCCATTTTAAATATGTCAATGGATATGCACTAAACACGACCATTTTGTTTACATAATTAAAACACACTCAATTGCACCAATTTAAGGTTAGTGTTACATAAAAAAATTGAATTTCGAAATCCGTTTCTTTTGCACTGAATAGGCTTCGAGTTAATTTTAGATCTTCCGTAATCTAAAGCAAGAAATACCAAGCCACACTATTTGAATTTCAATCGTTTTAATTCATTAATTTATTCATTTGTTCTTGGTACACATAATAATGTGCACAATCGGTGGATAAGTGGCCACCCGGATCTCCAGACCTTACCCCATTGGATTTTTTCTTCGGGGTTACCTTGTTACACAAATAAACAATATTAAAGACCCTAAAGAGATAATTTCGTAAAATGTCATAAATTTTCCTATTTAATTTGTTAAAATAACACAACAATAAGTTCATTTTTCCAACGACCTTAGACAATAAACGTCTTTATTTTATTTATAGACAATCGCTTTCTTTTAATGCAATGTATACAAATACATATTGCTTTTTATTTTGTCCGTGATCTAAAACGATATAACCTACATTTTTATGCAAAAAAACATATCAAAATCATTGACCACTTCTAAAAGAAAACCTTTGTCATGTATCTTATGTGGGTGGAAAAGTTGAAAAGATTGTAAAAATGAGTCATTGGTAGACATTAAAATTAGAATTGGGTAATATGAAAAATACAATAAAATTAATTGTTTGAGATATTTTAACAGCAATACCTAAAATATTTATAAAAAGTGTTAATGGCATAGTATATATTTTTTAAAATACTAAATCAGTTGTTTATTAGTGTTAAATGATTTAACCTGATGATATTTTATTAATTAGGAATTATTAAAATTAATTATTTTTTATTATGTTTGTATGGGTCAACGAACTAGAAAAAATTAAATTCTTTAAACTAATAAAAAAAATTTCAAACCATGTACTGTTTTTTTAAATTCATGGCAACTTAACTAGCAAATTTTGTAAAAACAAAATTAATGGCAAAAATATTCATTTATTCTGGTTTCAAAATGGACTTATAACCTTTAAGACGGCCAATGCAAATTATTGAAGAGGTCGACATTTTATTTCGGTAATGTGAATTAGGAAAAGTCCAGAATACATCGTAATTTATATTAAATTATGTATATAGAATGGGTTTCGTTTATTATGCAAACATCAACAAAATCCAAAACGTGTATTTTATATTTAAATAAATAAATTAAACTACCTAATAAAATTGCAGACATAAACTAAAAGTACAGTACACGTCAAATGTTATGTTATCTTTAC